GGCACTGATACCAGCATACCTCATTCTCTGCTGTCGTATTTACCGCGGATGAACCACATGCAAGTGCCAAAGGTTCTGAAGACTGAAGGCAGCTGAAGAACGGATGGTATTGGAAATTGTCAACGCCAAGCCTCACATCCGGGCATTTTTGGAGAAGCTGCTTATACAGAAATAAAAGATTTGTTTCGTTAAAATTGAAATACCTGACTTAAAAAATGAAGTGCACTATTTCCTCTTCAGTGTTTGCCAAAAATATTAATTTAGAAACACTTTAAAAAGAGAGTTGTTTAAACTTTTTTCTGCAAATTACATTGGGTCCTTCTAGTTCATCGCAAAAGTTTATGATCCGCAAACCTCAATGATCTAATTTTTTATTTTGAATTCAATTAATTTTGGTTCGTTCATAACCTTAATTTTAAATTTTGTTGAGTACACACCTCAGGGTGTCAGTTACAGCTTGAAAAATTTGAAAATATTGATCTGTAAATTTCCTGTAGTTCCTCTTAAGCCGGAATCTTGGAGATTTTTGTGTCAAATTTACCGAAGCAATTCTATGATTCTTCGCGCCACGTGTGCATGTTAAATGCCAATGTTTTTAATCAAACTTAATTTTGCAGTGGGGCAGAAGGAGATCAATTGTCAGAGGTTATGTATGATAGTTTTGAGAAAATCGGTATCATTTAAAACAAAAGAGGACATCCTCACTTGTCTTAGAAGAAAGTTATTTACTTAAATCGTATAACTTTGGATTTCGTTGGCTGACCTTGAAAAGGCAATCTCTGGTCTCTCTCCCAAGCCAATTGGGGATATCAGGCGTTGTGTATACGATGTTTTCGAAAAGTTGTCTCTTGTCTTTACCATAAAATGGTAGCTGATAAGCAGAAAAATGAAAATATTTAATTTATCACTCAACGTCTTTCTAAACTATTGAAATGGGCTGATGATTTATATCAGAGTGGAAGTTTAATTGTCTTCCAAATCTCTCGGTGGTAAAATATTTCCAAACTCTTTGATTGTCCCTTTGATGGAATCTGTTCTGTGACCTTTAGGATATCTGAAGACTAAAACAGATCCCCTTTTCGGGTGGAGTCTCCCCTTACCATGTTTGCCATAGGCGGGTGTCCTATTCCCACGGGACGAAAGGTAATGGCAATTAATGATTACTTCATTGTCAAAAGTTTGATTCATAAGCATTTGTGTCCTTCCGAAGGGCGAGTTATTGTGTACAAATGTAAACATATTTGCAATGTGTGAGTTGTTGCAATATTATTTGTACAAACCTTGCCGGTCAGCATCAGGAATAAAGTCACGCCAAAGGACCACCAGTCCACAGAGTAAGTATAAGACTCTCCCATGATCATCTGTAACAGATTAAGTGGAGTTTATTGGCATTGCAAAAAGTGTATTAACAAATTCAACTGCGTGAGCTTGGTTGAAACATCAGTGTATTAACAAGGGCGCGGTCAGGATCGTGTAGTAGGGGGGTCTTTCTACTTTATTTGTTGTCCGAAACTGAGGGCGGAGAGGCATAAAAAATGTTTTTTATCGTAATTTTTCAGATTCTCGTGACAAGCAGAGAGGTTACCCACCCCTTTATTGTCGAGAAAATTGTTGGGTCTCGTTTGACAATGCCTTGATTTAAGATTGACCATAGCGGAAGATTATAGGAATACATTTTACCCTCAGAGAAGGAGGAGAAGAAAGAAGAACTTTCTTAAAAACCTATAGAGAAGATAAATAATTAGTGAGAAAAAAACAGTAGCGATTTGAACAAAGACTTTTCAGGGTAATCTGCTACAAGCCTTATACCTCAGGCGCCATATATGGATAAGTTCCACATACTCCAGTGACTGCAAAGCCGACAAATTCGCTCAGACCGAAGTCTGACAGCTTCAGGTGGCCATTTGAGGTTACCAGAATATTTTCCGGTTTTAGATCTCTGATGAAATAAGTTGGCAAAAACTTCTTTCACTCATTTTTAGTGTACATTACTTTACATCAGGGCAAACCAGATTTGCATCAATTTTTCTGTTACAATGGAAAATCTTCTACCCGTTCTTTCTCGATTCCAATCCCATACCGCTCATGTCAATTGTGGCTCCTCGATTTCAAAAAACAAGTTTTTTTTTCTTTTTCTCGACCGCTAGTGGTGCATTATGTTTCAGCCAATTTGCATCAAGAAAGCTGGTTAGACAGGGAAGGTAAGTTAGTCGACATTGGAATTAAGCCGGAATGAACGAGAAAATTTTTTTGTATCCTTGTAGCAATCGGAAAGAAATGGGTGCATACTGGCTGCGTTATTTTTCAAACATTTCTCTTTATCATTCCCATAATCCCTCTAGTTCCTGTTATTCTTGTCGTCAGTGTTATTGTTATCGTTGTTGTTGTCATTTTCTCTGTCGTTACTGTTATGGTTATCAATATCGTCTGTGTTGTTTTATAAAGGGTTCCAAAACACCGGGGAAAAAACAAATCTTTCTTCAGAATGAGACATTCCAGAGTACGTTATGCCACAAACATACCTGTGGATGACTCT